GATGGGTCTGAAAACATCACGAAGAGGAACCCGCTTTTCTGAGAAAGTGAACACATATCCGAAAAGAACAGGACAGGACGAAAGTGTAGTGAATGAGTGCAGTAAGATGCGACTGTGTAAGACAGTAGTGGCAGGAAAATGTCCAGCAAAGAAGAGTAACTTGCTGCAGCCCAAATAGTCCAGTACTTGAGCATGTTGTTTGTTATGTACAGAAGTGGCTGACTAGCCATACACCGGGCTGATCTGAGTACGACTCCAGATGAAGCAGAAGAGATCTTGACCAGGCTTGCAGTACGAAGACAATACTACTTGCCCGCTACTTTACCATCAACCATGTAGAATATGTAATACAGTCTTGTGACCAGGGAAAACAAATCACTTATTTCACAGCACCATGGAGCTAGGGATATACACAGCAGAAAAGAAAACGATAGCCAAGAGTCACTCAAGCTTCTTGAGTGCCTAGAAAAATCAAAAAAGTTCAACTGGCCAAACCTTGCTAAACCTAAGGCACTGGTGCCGTGTATGTTGTCATGTGTGCTCGCTTGGACCCTAGGTTTCAGATGATTTCAGCTACTAGACCTTCTCGAGGCTCAAGTTTTCCTCAGAATTGCAATTTTTTTTCACACATCTTCTTACTCGCAGACATGCGATTATTTACAATGTTTTGTGCCAACATCTTTGAGGTATAACCTTTATCTGCGGTTAATTTAGTATAGGAACTTTCAGATGAAAAACGCATTTTCATAAAGCTCAATCTTACAGCTAAAGCTCAATCCTACAGTTGAAGTATTATATACAACTGTACGTGTTTACCAAGATTTACTTGCATGTCTGATGCAGAAATATGAAAATTTCAAGGCTTTTGTGAACTCGGAATAAGGGCGAACAATAACTTCAGCAAAGAATACCTCTCAAGATTGATGAGTTTGTATGCTGAGTGTAAAGTAAGCGTTGACAATAATCAATTGCAAGGTCAAGTATTTGACCTGTGATGATTGAGCAGGGTTTCTTGAGTAATCTAAAAACTAAGATATTCCGAGAAAAACTCTCATCTAATTAGTCAATGTTTTAGAATTCAAATATCACAGCCGTTCATTCCCATATTTAGATTGTACGAATAGAATTTAGGAGTTTTGCACTGTTATTTAACCNGAAAAACTCTCATCTAATTAGTCAATGTTTTAGAATTCAAATATCACAGCCGTTCATTCCCATATTTAGATTGTACGAATAGAATTTAGGAGTTTTGCACTGTTATTTAACCCTTGGACGGAAGCTAACTCGTACCCCACCGTGGTATAAAGGGGAAATGGATGGAACCCCCGCTGGTTTTTGTTCCGTTGACGCACAACGTACTAAACTTACATTGATTAGATAGCCCTGCGCTACAAAATCATACCATATTTGTTGGTAGTGACGTCATAATGTCAAATGACGTCATTTGACCCGCCATTGTGGATCCGCCATCTTGGATTTTATTTTTTTCTTAAAAAGTCAAGAAATAGTGAAAATTGATACAAAATCAAGCCAGAATGCTTATGAAATGCACAAATTGGTGAATTTCTGGAATTTGATGAAGAAAAGTGGAAAAAATACAGAATTCTGTCAAAAAAAAGTTGAGTTTTGGCCGAACCTACATGAAATTAGTAGTTGTTATGGAAATATAAAAAAATGATGGTCACACAATTGACATATCAAAATATCTGCGAAGGATGAAAGAACAGCAAATGAAAGTTTCAGCCCCTTAGAGTAAATCCTCTTTTCAAAATTTTGAAAATACCTTATTGGGAGGATGGCATCCACCCCCCTTGTACTTCCGAAGTTTAAGGGATATTGCTAAGAGTTTTGCATTCATTGAGCTTCCACTGCCCTAAATAATATTCAAAGACTTTGTTAATGACATTAACA